GTTACCTATTTACATTATTACGATTGTTGTTATCAGCAGATTTCTCGTACCTGCTGCAGGACCGACGGCGGTAACCGTTCAATCGGGAGAATACAAGTTTACGTCTGTGAAGTGGCCTTCCCCCCCCCCTCAGTGGCGTCCAAACTGTATTTTTATGGTGTATCCATTTAAAGGGTGCGTTTATTTTTACGGCCAAACATGATATTTTGAATTGCTGAAAAAAATCCCCTAATGGCTTTCGTTATTTATATTTTACACGCAATATTATTATTTTTTACTAGGTATTACTTATTACATACCATCATATATGATATTATCTACATCTCAATATCGTATATACAATTATTATTATTAATTATCACACATTACAATGTACCAAATTATTACATTTTTAACACAGAATTAATTTTATTTATGGCCGTCAATCCCCAGTAAAATGATACTAGGGAAATTTTTTTTTCCATGAACGGATGTTTTAGATCAAAGAGTATGAAAAATGTAAGAATAACGGTTGACGGATTTTAATTTTGAAAACAGATTTTGATTGATTAACAAGTATTCTTGAGAACTTTAAATATTTTTTTTTTCATCTGTGATGTCGATGAACAAATATATGGTATTTTGATATTTTTTGCCTTCATCATAAAACAGATAATTTTCTGAATATTTAAGATCACCTCCGTTATAACAGGTGCTTATTTTGTTTTTATTTTAGGAAGAGAGGGTGGTAATCAGGATTCTAAAGTCAAGATTAAGATAAATCCAAACTGCTATGGTATACTAACGATACGGTAAGGTAACGATATGATTTGTCATTGTATTATATGGAACGATTTTAATTATAATACTATCTATTTCATTGTATATATTTCATATTAAACTATTACACAAAAAAAAAGATCTAAGAGAAGATCAATCACCCCTATCATTAACCTCTTAAATACGCCCCTGCGTATAGTAAACTTGTTAATAAATCATCCTCGTATATACTTTATATTAAAGAAATTTCAAATTTTTACGTCTTACCTTAAATTAATATTAACTTTTGATTTTTAAATAGCAAACCCTCTTCCCCAACACTAATTTGAAAAGTAATATTTTTTTAAAATAATTTGTTATACATACACTATCATATTTATTTATGAGTTATTACAATTCAAAATATTTAAACCAGATAAATATTTAATGCATAAATTATAAATCATGTATTAATAGTAAATGCATATCATCTTGTCGAATTTGGTTTAAAATAAGGAGAAAATACTATTTGAAAATCAAGTTAATTTAACTAAGTTTATAGTGTATCGAAAAATACAGTTTTTAAAAAATTGTAAATTAATTAATAAATCGATTTTATAACGGCTTAAAAACTCGAAATCTTCGTATTTAACCGCTGGATTATGGTGATAAAAAAATAATCACCTGTTATACACGAAATAATGGACTTTTTTTGAGGCACTGTGCGTGTAACGGGATACTGAAACTATAAAAATAAATTGTAAATCAGTTGCCAGACACAAAATCACTTTATTTTACATAAATAAATATACCTAAATAATAAAGATAATAAATATCTGAACTATTGTAATAAAAAAAAAAAAACTATTAAAAATAACGATGTATGTGTGTATTGCTGATTTGAAAACGAGGGGAAATAATATAGGGGTATAGTTGTTGTTGAATGAAATTGGTTGTGTGATGTGACGGTATCCATGTTTGCATAGAAAACAACCCAAAATGGTTCACGGATAATTATATGCATAGGTCGTTAAGATTTCGAATATAATTTTAACGCGCACAACTTTATTATATGTTTATTTGAATATAAAATATATTATGTATATCGCAACGCTATAGGAATATTATGTTTGTATAATATAGTTAAAGGGACTGCGCGCGGCCTGTTTTTCGTCCAAACACAGGCTTTACATTTACATGGTTAATTTTTCTGTCTCGTAGAGTGGTCTGATTTTGATTATTATTTTGTTGGAAATAAAAAGATTGTTTTTGAATTTTTAAAATTATATTTTCAAACGAAATATTAAAGTTTGAATGTGACAATTTCTTTTGTTTGGTGATTTTTATTTATATAATCAAAAGTAATAGTCCATTACACCTTATAAGAAGTTGTCCTGTTTCAAAAAATGGCATACATTTCTTTAAGAATTTATTATTATTACAGCTCAACTTGTTTAACTCGAATTTTATTAACTCGAATTATTGGATAACTCAAACCTCTTTGCTGATCCGTTCAACTTCAATTTAACCAAGTCTGTATAATTATTGTTTTATTGGAGAAGTTTATCAAGTAGGTAGTTGTCAAATTATTTTGTGTTTTGGGAAAAAGTAGAAAGTGGCAAAATGTCCTCGTTTTAGGTTTTATAGATTGCTACTGAAATGACAATTACATGGACTTACCACACCGCAATATATTATTTAATTAATATTAATCACCTCGTGAATATTGCATTTTAAGAAAAAACACAATTGATATATCAGTGTACAAAAAACAGATGTTAGTGTAGGTACCATATGTTCTAAAAGGTTCCAAGTTCGTTTAAGCTATTCGCAGAGTGTCGACAAACTACAAATTTAATACTCGTAAAAAAAAAACTAATATAATATTAATATATAAAAACACTTAGAACTAGTTATGTTTGTATATTATTATATTGCGTGTATCTATATGTGTTACTACCTATATAATAATATACGGTTTCGAGGCGGTATAATATTATAATAATGCGTTACTCGGTGTGATAGACACGACGAGGAAAAAAACAGTTTTGAATATTATATAAGGAAACTCGTTTAACGTAAAAAAAAAAAAATAAAAACTAATATAAGTTTAATTGATAGGTAATCTACATATTGTTAGCCCGTGGGAGTTCTAACAACTCGCGGAATTCTCGTTGTCCCGTGCAATCAAATGTATTTGTAGTAAATCTCGATACAAACCTAACCTGAATACCTGATATTATAATTGAATTAGTTGAGAATTACCGCGAATTACTATCGCAGCCAACTAATATCAAAAAATAATCGTTCTTGCCGTTCGGCAATATTCGATAGAGCGATTATACGATTACCTGTAATATGTATTGGTTTTAATATTATTTCGCGCCAAACGCATTATATTAAAAATGTACATTTCATTTGTACCTAACCCGCATACAAATCGTATGGCAAAACGATATAAAGATAATATTGACTAATGGAAAATAATCGTTCCAGAATAGTCGTATACCGCTAGTAAATGGATGCATGGCTTAATAGTAATTGTGTAGTTATTTAATATTATTATCGATTTTTAACGCGGTTTTCCTTTTAATCTCCATAGTATTGCATGACTCTCGGGATTAATAAACCGATTGTAGCGGAATATTTTAAAATTCTATTTACACTTATCTAGTTATATATTGTAATTATTTCAATTTGTGATAATAGCAGTAAAAAAATAAAAATAAAAATAAACATAATACATATTTTTTAACATATTATAGCGACCTATGATTTCTCGAAAACCCAGCGCCAATGTATAATATACCGGTTAGATTAGGTTAAGTTAGGTTAGGTTAGAGTAAATTTGCTTTGGCAAAAACAGAACACTTGCTCCGAAGAATAGACTATAGCACTTTTTCTGAATTGAGGTCATTTTTGATTTTCCTAAGGGTTTTCGAAATAAGTCGAAAAACCTCGAAAGAAAATTATAGGTAAAACGCCAAATATTTACGGTATGTCGCGGTGTTACCGTTTTCATTGACTTTATTATGTTAACACGATGTTTTAAACCAGAAATATTGCTCTAATCTAAAAATGACAAGAGATCGATTTTCTTTCTTATAATATTTTACCACCGACAAAGAGAGTAGGTTTTTATTATCTAAATTTTTTTTCATAATAATTGGAAAAAACCAAAAAAGTCAAAATATATGATTTTTTTTTCAAATTACGGTAAAACGATTTCATTATTTTAAATTTGTACGGCTTATATTTTCGATCATAAATATTACTCCAATAAAAGACCATCAAGAGAACTTTTTAGTTGAATTTTGTACCTAGTTGGTGACTAAGAAGGCATTTTTTATTGTTCTTTGTAGTTGTTTTAATAATTAAACAAACTTTAAAATATGCAAGTTCATCTAGCTGAGTAAAACCGAAAATAATGAAAATTATGTGTCAAGAAAAAGGAGTTTTCTGGTTTTTACACCGAGGATTTTAATAATCTTCATAGCACCAGATAGGAAATGTATCGGTTCACCGAATTTTCATCGATCCAAAATTGTAGACAAACGATAAAAATGTGCAATAATTGACATATAGTATTACATTTAATGAAAAACAAGTAATGATTTTACGCGGCCCACCGAGATATTCCCAATTCATTTCGAACATGAATATAATTCAACTGTGCTAGATTTAATTTTAAGACAAATTATTATTTTTATTTCGGCCAAAAATTCTAGCAACACTCAATAATATTGAACATATGATCGAGCGAAGTTTCAAACAAATACGTTTATAAACCTTGGCAACCGATTTTTTGTTTATTACTATTTTCTATATAAAGCGTTTCGTCATTCTCGATTCTAATGACTTGAGTTTCTCTTTTGTCATGAATATTTGGTAAACACTTAATACTTTTTTGAGCAGTTCCGATTTCATTTTACATTAAACTCTCGCTGTTTATATTCGCTTTTTTCGTGCGTACATTTTAGTACTTATCGTTTTTAGACATGCCGCGGTAAGTATACCTATATTATAATGACTAATAAATGAAGCATAGTATTTTTTTTTTTTATAAATATTTTTTTCAACTTTCAAACAATATTTCATAATATTATCAAAATACAATTGACCGCATGTATTATGATTTACACAGGAAATCTCATACGGGATCAAATTCATCGTTCAACATTTGAATTTGTCTGATTATAACACGATGTACCTGAAAGCGGTCGCGCTACTGGTGAAGAACCGAAGACAACTGAGCTATATGACGAAATTATGTGCCAATACGTTAACTACGGATCCGTCGGAGCCCGCGTTTCAGTCAATTTTGATGCAAAAATATTACGACGTACACAAAGGGTTATGCGAAACTCCGACGGTAATGGTTATTCTAAAATAATTTTTTAAAATCCACAACAAATGAGAATACTTTGGGTTTATTTATGTCGATTTCCAAGAAAAAAAAGAAAAAACGATATTTTTACATCTCATCAATTTACCGAGCTTTGCTCGTAGTTATTGGTTATCGAATGCGAAGATCTATTATTGATTTCGTGCATAACCTAAATTACGGTTTATACCTCCTAAAATGCTGGCTTATAATTGTATATAGCCAACCAACGGTGCGAAGTATACGGCTGGCTTATTTAATTCGGGTTTTCACCGGCAAGAAAGTACACCCTTTTTAAAAGAGATTGACGAATTTATATTTTCTAGGCGAGAGACTGCACGCCGCCTTTGAACCATCATATATTAAGCCAATAATTTCGTGAACAATTACGAATACGAATATAAAAAATAAATTGCTAATGTTTTTTATTTTATTTGATATTATTTACGTGTTTTGTCGTTTTAAAGGTTCGTCGGTGAATTATACAATCTGGGTGCGTAACCTGAGGCGATTATATGGTCGTTTGTTAATGAACTTACGAGAGGATATGACGGCAATTTACAAATCGAATATCTATGCACCCTTTTAAAGTCGGTTGCACCGAAATTATCCCAAGTAAATTACTCTACACAAACATTATGATGATTATAAATACTGCGGATACGAAATAATTATATATAATGTCTATAGACGTACAAAATGATACGAGTAGTTGGTCATTATTGCTGTTACTGAAAAACAATACTTCCAGAGCGGATACGATGCCGTCAAAATTTAAAAAATTAATACACGAAACAAAGGATACATGCATTTAATCGATTGAATTCAAAGTATAAGTATTGTCCAATCAACTAGATATTGAAAAATCTCCCATATTTATCGTGAAAAGTTTATCAGGTTCAATTAACCTCTGACCTCTACTACAAAAGCGCCAAAGCGGAATTGTTGACCGCTGTACGAAATGAAATTCGAAAATCGATTAAAATGTTTATTAAACATTTTTTTTTTTTTTTTTGAGCAGCATGTTTTGTGTATGATTTAATTTCTTTTTTAATTTTTTATTACTTTTTTTTCGTTGTTGTAAACTTATTTTTTATTTTCTTATTTGTTTAAAAAATAATAATAATAATCCATTAAAAAAAACCATTTAATCATTAAATGGTATTCATTGTTTTATAGTTTCATATTATCATCAACTACCCAGATGCAGTAGCGCACTCAGGATTTTTTTTCGGGAGAGGTTTTGTTTATAATAATTTCCTAGAGAGGGGATAGCATATATGATCAGTACAGTACTATAACTATTATGACTAAATAAATATTATCCAATACATGAAATTTTGTTTTATTTTATTGTGTGGTATAAGATATTATGTTGTTGAATGTAAAACTTAATTTGAAAAAATGCAGTGAAGGAAGAAATTTCGAGGAGGTGGACACCCAACCCCCTCCCCCTTTGTGTGCGCCACTACCCAAATAAACCTGGGAAGGTAGGATATAAAGGGAAATTTAATATAGATCTGTATACAACGATTAATTACTACTAACGAAGGACGATTCTGAGCGAAGATCGGTCAATAGTATTGCTTTTTAACAAATCAGAGTTGATTTAATTATTTTTAAAAGAGCGCCTGGAAACCTTTTAGTAGCCGACATTAGCAAATTAATTTTTTGTATTCAAATACGTTCTTTTGCCAGTTTATGTTCCTGATTTTTCTGATTTTCTTGGTACCAAAAACGTATTTTTCGATTTTTATCGGTATACGTGCTTTAAACAAAACATCATCGATATAATAAAACCAATATAGATTCACTCGCTTCACTCGGAATCTAAAAAACTTCCCCGCGAACAGGAACTTTTCCGTTCGCCGTTCGTTTGTTTTAAAATCGACGCGTTCCGTGTTTTAGTTCTCGTAACGCGGGACGCCGACGCGATGGCCGCGCGGCGTGACCCGTGTCTTGGACGGGCGAGCGCGACGCCGCGATTGAGGAAAACCATGTGGTCAGCCGTGTCACGTGAAAGCCGCGAGCCGTCGCGCCGGCCCTTTCGGCGACGGGCGTGGCCAAACGCCGCGGCGTCCGCGCGTTACGGCGCACGCCGCCGCGTACGCCAAAAACTGGGAGGATTCATCGCGCGCGATCGTCGCCACCGGCCAGTGTGCTTGATGCTGCCGATCCGTCCACCACGAAGGGGCCGATTCTTGTTAAAACGCCGCATTGTCCCGATACGCCGGCAACGTGATTCTGTCAGATTTCTTGTTGGCGCGAATGCCGTTCGTTTTTCGCCTCAGGTAACACATTAATAACGTACGATATTAATATAAGTTCCCGCCTGTAAACAACCCGGAAATTTTCGGATTTCACGCGGTGTTATTGCGATGACGATAGTTATTGAAATATATTAACAATTATTATAATAATATTATTATTTTCGTTACGCCGTACGTGATCGTGGTACGGTAATAGTATGCGCGCGAAACGAAAAAATAATAATAATAAAAAACTGTCCTAGGGCAAAGGCGGGACGGGTGGTGCAGCTGCTGTTATAGGTGCAAAGTTGGGAACGTAGTAGAGGGAAAATTTAATGTATATCTGTTAGCAACGATAAACGATTGCTAACGAGAAAACGATTCTGAGCGGAGTTCGATTGACAGTGTTGTCCACATTATATATGTCATATTATCGCCGTTTAGATCGCACAAAAGATATAGTACATCAATACATCAATCGTTTGGTAAAATAATTACACATCATACATATTATGTATTTTCTTCAGTAATATTTGTTTTATACTGTAACTGTTTTTCCGGTTTTTTCCATTTATTGGGAAATCTTCCGGGAAAATCAAAAAATAACCTCCCGAGACTAATATCCCAGTCAGATTTCCTTTCGGAAAAAAAATGCTATCATTATGAATCGGAGCAAAATTTACGGTAAAAAACATCATTGTAAAACCAATACATTCCTCGCTCCACTCAGAATCTAAAACGTGCGAGCGACGTGATTTCCCCGAATCGCAAAAACGATTTACAGATCATAGTAATAATATTATTATTGTTATTTGGGTGTCTCGTAAAACGCGTGTTTTTGTTGAAACAACAATATTAATTTACGTCGTAACGCGAGCAACATGCGAACGAGCGCTTTAGACTTCGCGAAAATGGTCGAACGCAAAAGTTAAGAGGTTGCAAAAGCAAACAAAACTGCATTGCAATACGAGTGTAAAACGGTTACTTGTTCTTTTACGCCTCGGCGGCGATATCTCCGAAACGCGGTCTCATGGAGATTTGAACGGTCAGACAGTCGTTTTTCGTTATCGTGTTATTACAGCGTTTATATTGTGTACAATATTATCATAATTTGATGGCGTATTTACAGGTTAGGCGATCGTCTGTCGTTGCCCACAATGTAATACAATAAATACGAATTTTCCCAAAACGCCGATTTTTCTCTCGGTCACGCAACACAAATTACACGAACGGCGGTTTACAATGAGATTGACACGGGGGAAACGCCGGGAATAGAATAAAACAATTGGTACGAGCACTATAATATTTCAAATAAAATACCGTTTTTGTTAAATTCAATTTTGCGAAATCGTAATAAAATTATGGTCTCTCCGTGTGTTATGTAAACGTTTTAATTTTCGGTTCAATATTTTATTCTACACTAGAAAAAATAATATTTCACATATTCTCTATAGATATGTACGCCATACATATGGACATAATACGAGTATACTGTAATACCTGTCATACATTTTGTGCATTTACAATATTATACGCGTTCGTTCATTTGCTCGACGTAATAAATATACGAAATTTTACGTGAGAAAAACGAAAAACGTATTTCTTTACGACGGGATTTTTTTTTTTTTTTTGATCGAGTCTTATATTTTCATCCAAATCAATTATCTCATCAAAGGTAATCCACGAATAAACAAAAATAAATTAACAATTAGATATTAGTACCAAAACCCTTATTTTAACCCCTTAGACCGTTTATATGTATTTTTGGTACGAATATCTAATCGTTTATTAATTTTTGTTTATTCGTAAGTTACATAGGTGATACGAATGAAATAACAAAAAAATTGGCTCGGGCAACGACGGACGGGACGTCGCTAGCGGAACGGCAGAGTTTTCGGTATTTTTGGAACAATAATTAAATTAAATTTGTTGATTTATAGGTTACCTGGTGACATGGACTATAATTTAATTGGTTGTCGCGGACGATAAAATCATTTTATTGTAATTATTATAACTATTATTCACACTATTTTCAGCAATAGCAAAGCATTGTCGGGTCAACTAGTATTGTATATAATAATAAATATGTGTAATAGAGTCTGTTTTAAATAACAATTTACTAGCCGTCGTTACCCGGGTTGGGTTGAGTTATCTGAAAACAAACAGTCCACACGGAATGTGCATATCGAATAATCATAGTAATGTAATATAAATCCGGATTCCTAATTTCGGACCTCAAATCCCAGTTGGTATTTTAATGAATTAATTTTTTAATTTTCCAAGCTGGTTTTCATAATTATTGGGAAAACTCGAGAGAAAACGTATATATATTTACGGCGTAAAGATTTCATGAATTTACATTATCGTAAATACAAATATTACCTATTTTAATAATTAATATTATTACAAATAATAATTACCTATCGATAGTTTATATTTCATACTACAATATTGATATTTTTGAAATTCGGATTCCGAAAATCCAGATTTTCGAGCTTCGGAAAATCCGGATTTTTCCCACCATTAAAAATGGTAAGTACACGATCATTTTTTGAAACCGAAATTTCCCCGCTGCGTCATAATTAATATCTTTCAGATGGATATGCGAATCACAAACATCGGGAAAACTCCTGGATCATTAGTTCATTAACGAAGTCACAACACCTTTCCATTACACAATTCGTAACCATTCGTAACTAGTGCAGTGTAGTCAGTCGGAATATTAAAATATATCTTGTTTTTAGATTCTGAGCGAAGCGAAGGATCTATTGATTTTACTAAGATGTATATGTTTTTTTCCTGTCTGTAAACAATTACTTTATTCCAAGAAATCTTGCTCCAACCAAAACATGACAAAAGACCTTTTTTTGTTGCATTTCAACTCTAGTTAGTACTTCGGAAGTTCGGAAAGTTTATTTTTTGAAATTCACATTAATATTCTAGATAATGAGGGAAAACTGGTCCTTAAGGTTAAAAAAAAAAATTAAAAGATTAAAAATGAAATTATCATAGGCAACAGTTTTTATTATTTTAATCGTTTGATCTTTTTCCAAACAATTGTTGTTGAAATTAAATCTCACATTGTTTAAAAAGCAATTGACCGAGCTCCGCTCAGAATTGTTTTTCGTTAGCAATGATTAATCGTTGTGCACAGATCTAAATTAAATTCCCCCATACATCCTTCCCGACTTCTCACCCTCAACAGTGGCCCACCTGTAGTGCGAACTGCGAAGTATGTCTGTATTTTTTTTTTTTATATCCAAATTAACCAAGAGAGTACTCCACAATAAACGTAAAAATAAAACATGTTATTATATTGGGATTATTATGAGACGACTGGATTTTTCTTCCGTGTCAATAATAATAAAAAAAAAAAAAAAAAAGGAAAATAAATTATTGTTTGAAAAATGTAAATGTAAGACGTAAAAGTGCAATCATCAGGTTACGGCCCGACGAGTTATGATGACGCAAAACCGAAACTAATAATTTTGCAGTTATTACTGAATACTTATTTTTTTACACTTCTACGTCTCGGATTGAATTTGTTAAAC